TTTGCTACTTATGAGGAGTATTTTGAAGACAATTTACCTGATCTTTTCAAACATTTCCATGAACTCAATGTTACACCAGATCTCTATATTATCGATTGGTAAGTCTCCGGAATTTAATTTTGATGTTCGTGATTGTACATCATATTATCATCTGCCCTTTCTGTCCATCAACCATGTCTGAAGAATTGAATTTACTGTGTAGTAGGAAAAGTTTAATGACGGTATTGAAAAAAAGTACCGGTAATGCTTATTCAAACTCATGCTTTTCGTGAAATTGCTCCCCTAACTACTGCTGTGTCTATGTTGTCTGTTATTTTAACCTTTTCACCACCAGACTTTCTCAACTAAATTTTTCTGCACTTTTTCTTATATTTTTCAATATTTCTGGGGAAAAACCCTAATTTTGGAGCCAACATGCTAAATTTGAGTCAATTTTCACTCACAAGAATTGGCTATTCTTGTCTCAATCTTCTGAAGGAAAGTGCAGACTATAAACGGGACTATTTTGTGAATCTGATGAAAAAGAGGAACTGGTGGTGAAAAGGTTAATAAGTTTATTTTAATGACCCAGAGAGAGGTCCTTTGACATTAAGCCATTTTGGAGTTGTGTCCTCATGCATGTAATGTAATTGGCACCTGTGTATTACTTTCTCAGAATATTTCTGAACTCATGGGACTTGACTACATAAGGGTGTTATCTGCCTTTGTTTTTCTCATAGTTTTATTATCTGCAGAGCAGTTGTATCTTTCCCTTTCCTTGTGGTTTCAGTAACACATTTGAATGCTATAATTTTTTCAGCCAAAATTTTGAAGCAACCTTTTTGTACATTTAATTATTCACTGGGTTTTAATTTTGCTTATTTCGCTAACTGGAAAATGTGCTAAATTAAAACCCAGTGAATATGTAAAATTGAGCAATAAAACACATTTATTTAAATGATAAAACCATGAATTTAAAACCTGCTTAATATGCCTGAACTGGTAAATCAGCGAAATTTAAACGCAGTGAAAATTAGTCATTTTTCAGTATTTCTTTAATATCATCTCACTGCTATAGGTATTGATCAAACATAGTGAAGAAATATGGAATCAATTATGCAGGTTTATTTTGTGAAAATTGACAAGTTGGCTTTGGTAATAAAGTGTTAAAGGTTGATTTATTTACTTACAGGATGTATACTTTGTATGGTAAATCATTGCCATTAGACGTCGCTTGCAGAGTCTGGGATGTATTCTTCAGAGATGGAGAGGAGTTTCTTTTTCGGACTGCACTGGGTATGTTTGAAATATACTGTTAAAGTGGGCAAGTTTCTTGTCCAATTTTAATATGATACAGTGTTCGTTCTAACAGGATTGATTTTGTAGATACCCTGAGTCAAAATTGAATCCCCCCCAAATCAATTTGAGTCAGCTTGTGTACTGCTGGGGAGGTCTGTTTTCAAGAAAAAAGAAATAAATTAAAATTGTATGTGGCTTGAGGTGAAAATAAAAATGTTGTGGTCCTGATAATAACAACCCTGCATCAGGGTTTTTTGTAGATAAAATGAACAAGAGAAAGCACACACAGACGATACGCCATATCGGAAGTTGTCTGCGCCGTTTTAACGGTGTGTCTTTCACCATTGATATATTTATGGAGTAATTTTAGTGTAGTTGGTGTCTAGACACATTGTCAGCTGGTGTTGCTGGAAAGTTTTCACGGAGAAAAATATATTTGAGAAAGATTTCATGTTGTATGGAAGTGCACCGGTATATTTATGATTTGAAAGTTCAATCAGCAGTTCGGTAAGAGGGCGCCAGGCAAGAGTATCAGGGCGCCAGCAAAGAGTATCAGGACGCTGCACCTCGGTTTAGAAAAAACCCTGCTGCATTGCAAGACATGTACATATTGCTAATAAGTAAATCTTATCACTCTTCTTATTTATTATTTGTTTGTGTTATAGGAATTCTACATGAATATCAAGAAATCCTATTAAACATGGACTTTATTCACATTGCCCAGTTCCTCACCAAACTACCGGAGGACATAGCTGCCGAGAATCTCTTCACCTCTATTGCAGCAATCAACCTACAGCAAAAGAAGTTCGGTCAAGTCTTTCTCAACCATCTTAGTACGGTGCAGAGTTTAAACAACAAAGAGTAATCATACTACACCAGTGTTTGGTTCTTTCCAATTTTTTTTTTTGGTTGATTCCAATCTGTCTCTGTGAGATCCGAGGATTGTCATGTGCTAATAGTGTATTTACAGAAGGATTTGAAATATTATAATAGAACTGTCAATAAATGATGAAATGCGGGTTTTTACGGGAAGCACACACAAAAATAAGACCTCTTCAAATCGCAGAGGAGCAGAAGCATAATCCTATTGTAATAAATAAAACAGTAATCTTTATAGTCTGTAGTAGTACTTCCATGAAGCAAATTTTTTTTTTGAGGAAGACAAGGAAGTTCACAATTTTTATTTTTTCATTTCAATCTATATTTTAGTAAATAAGTCAGTAATGCCCCTTAATTGCAAATTCTTATGAAATTGCCAAAATTTGAAGTATGTATTATATAATGAATATTTAATCAATGATAATGTATATAATTTCTAATCTCATTAATGTCACTGACGTACGCCAGTTACTGTGTTTGCATCCTTTTAACTATGCTCTTTCAAGGTTGATGTGTGGTATCTTCTTCTACAATGCATTGAGATGGCATCTCCTTTTCACGAACAAATGTTTCTGAATTTGAACTTAAATTATTTAGAGATTTCCTATATTTCACGAGTCAAATCTTTATACAATCAGATCATGTCGATGTTTGCCCTATTTTTCAATAAATTTCAGAAAGTATTGCAATTTCTCATACATTTGCATTGATTAAATGTTTGCACTCTTGTGATTTGAGATTCTTGTAAAATTGATTATTTCACGAGGGTTCTTCAAATGTGCTGATGTTTGTAAAATTGTGTTTCTATGAATGACATAACCCACAAGATATCATTTCAATTTTCAGAAACAGGTAGTGAAAATTCACACATTAAAGGATGGTGCGAGTTATGGGTCCAATTTTAACAAAGATGGCAACTTTTAAACCACAAGGTTTAACCTTTTCACCACCAGACTTTCTCGCCCATTTCTGCCCTTTTTTCTTAAATTCTTCAATATTTTTGGAAATGAACTCTAATTTTGGAGCCAACAGGCAAAATTTAGATAAATTTTCTGTTTTTACACCAAAAATTTGGCTATATTTGTCCCAATCTTCCGAAGGAAAATGCAGACTATAAATGAGACTATTTTGTGAAATTGTGATGAAAAGAAGGAACTGGTAGTGAAATGGTAATTTCTGGGATGATTAAAATGCATCAAAGGAGTCAAAGTTGGTATTTCGCCAGATTAAAACTTGCCACTGAGTGAGCACATTGGGTTATGCGAAAATCACACAACTATGTTGCTCGTGTGTGGCCTGATAATCACTGCTCTTACAGCATAGGAACTGCATGAATCCTTAACACATTCTGTTTGTATTCAGGTACTTGTAATATCCATTTCCAATTTTTCCTCAGTGATTTGGAAGCTCTTTATGAGTAAATGAATTGTGCATTGAATATCTTTCAAATAATTATTGACCTATGGAGGTCATTCATCCTGGTATTTTTGGTGATATGAAGCCATATAACACACACAGCTACTCTCAGAAGTACCAGGATGTGTGACCTTCACACTTCATGCTAACCATCACATATTTAAAATGTGTATACATTAAATTTTGATATGTAATATATGCGTCAAGTTTTCTTGTTATAATAATAATATAGTCAATATTTTTCAATAGTGATTTCTTTATCCAATTTTAACAACAAAACATTGCAATTTTCACATAGATTTGTCACATGATATGTAATGTATATTTTGTAATTTACACTTGTTTGGAATGTTGTTTGCCAGATATACATGTAAATGTCGGTGCTGTTCAGTGATGTCATAATGTTGTGTTAGAACACTGAACTGTTCAATATGAAATATATCTTTCATTCATTCCCAGTCAGACTGCTGTGCCTCAAAAGTGGATTTTCTTTGTCAAGGTAATCCAAGGTAGTTATAAAGCGCATAATCCTAAAATACATACGTAGCTTAAGTATACTATACTTTTTTGTAAATTAGTTAATATGTATATGGTCAGATATCTTTACAACAATAGAGGGCGCTTTAAGTTATGAATATCCAGGTTGCGCTCATGTATAGCATCAATTCCAGACAAATGTGAGAATATTTGCCAGTGTTTTCAGCATTTAGTATCTGGTAGTACAAAACACACAAGGTCAAGTAATAGGAATTCACACATATATAGTAAATATATGTAGCCATGTGAAAGAGTCAGTCGTTGCATGTTATGTTTAATATGGGTTTCCTGCATCAAAATCTTTTTTATGCAGATTTTGTGCACATGCTTCATGCTCTTCATCTTGTAATTAAAACTAGAATGCTGGTGAACATTTTTCTGAATGATTCCTGCGTCAATTTGCCATCAGTATTGCATACAGTTTTATGATGGGACAAATTTTAGATGTGTCAAGTTTGTGAAGAGTTGCAGTTTTAGGTTATATGTATTGGCCATACATTAAAGGTAGGATGGTCCTCAATATCAAAGTTACCAGATGAGTACTATCTAGTTTGGCATACAGAGTGTGGTACTCTTCACAATGATACAGAAAGTCATACCCAACAATTATACAGGTGTGGGTGAGTGGTAACTGTTTACTAGATCTTGCCAAATGTTTGCAAACTTTTTTGGCTTTATTGCCTGGGTTAATTAAAAAATAAATCGAAACGAATTTGGTGGCACATTCTTCATTTTAAAGGGTGGTGGTGGTCGTCGTCGTCGTACTGCCGCGCGTTTGATATGGGACTCGTAGAAACATATACAAGGTGTGTAAAATACATTGTTTATTTACATGAAATTCGAGCACAGACTGCACAATGACCACCGCCCTTTAAAACAGACCCAAGATGCCAGAGAAGAAAGAAAATCTCACTAAAAGTAGTCTGAACGTAACATAAGATACTTGCATTCATTAACAGTTAGATAACTATGGTTACATAAGGATTTGTTTCTGATGAACTTTTGATGCAGTAATAACATCAATGCATATCTTGTACTGCTATATGCATGAATGGCATCGTGCAGGCTACAGAAATTCAACAATCCTTGTTTTACATCTTTGTCCTAATCTGAACACATTGGTAAATGTCAAACGATTTGTTGTATTATGTGTTCCTTATTGTAAAAGTCTATTTAAAAAAGAGGAAATTGAGAAAAAAATGGTTATTGTGAATTAATGTATTTGTACTATGTTTTGTGATAATGTCTGCATAGTATGTTGCTCCTTGCACATTTGTTTGATGGTACTGTTGAAGGCATTCTCACATGTTGTCTTGCAATTATGTGCTGTCCTTAGTTTTTCCATCGCTTTTAAATGTAAAACTAAATGTTTTATGCATCTCATTTGGATGTGTCTAAGAGCGTATCTCCTAAATGACATTGACTTTTCTTTTTTCTTTTCTTTTCCTGGTCATAATAGTTGCTAAATTGTAACAGCTGGGTTTCTACCAGTCTAATAATCTTCCCGATAAAATAAGAAATGACATGGACTTTTCTGAATAATCTGCAAACATTTTTCATTGGTATGCGAAAATTTGTTGCTTATCTCAGCTTAATTTTTGAAAAATAAAAATTCACTTTTTGTTAAATATGTAAAAGCAATTCAGTAAATATTTGACATGTGTTTGCGTGGCACCCATCAACAATCAGGGAACATACATGTCTACGCAGAAACCCAATGTTACTAACATTGACATATTAACATTTGTTTTTCTAATTTCAACACCTGCACCTTGTAGTACACGAACCCTTTTTCATCGTCATTTTACAGTGTATATTTTGTATTTGATACTATATAGTAGCAAGTGTTAGTATTTCTCTTGTCATCACCCAATATTGTAAATGTCAAATATTTATATATTAAGTGACCAAAATAATAGAGACTACAATAAAATTGTCCATGTTATCTTGTACATTTACGTCTTGTTCTTTATTGGTCCTCGACTAAAAACCAGGACTTTGGAATGATCTATGTGTGTACACACCTCTGTTTTGGACATGTCTGGGCAGGTCACATTCAAACTTCACACCATCACAATGCATTGTGGGATTCATTTGCACGTCTCTTTCATGTTTCATGAACTGATTCAAGATGGTCGAATTGCAGCTGTTCATGAGGCTAAAATCCAGCATTTCTGTCATTCCAGAACTGTTTCTCTGCAGTATATTGATGGATTTTGTTCAATTTTACATTAGATTGAACATTACCGGAGCATGATGTACATCACTTTGTTTTTAGATTGGATTCAAAATGGCTGGATGAGAGCTATTTTGTTTTAATTAATGCTGTTTCAGAGCTATATCTCACTTATTCAAAAACTCATTTCAGATTTCTTAATTTTTTCTGCTCACTCTTGTTATGCCAAATTTGAGAAATTTAAAAAATAATGTGGTTCTACTGAATTAAAATCCATTCCATTGCATTGCAATATATGGATGAACTGGTTGCAGACATGAATGCTGATGATATGAAGGATTTCCTCAAGCTCATAGTTATTTGCGGAATATCTTGGATGAACCATACTGGAAGCACTAACAAACAATTGCTTGAAACACTGCTTTCAATGATGAACACTTAAGAAAACTAGAACCTTAAATAAACCCTACAATGGAGAGATTATGTCATGCGCAAAGCCCTGTTCCAGAGAGAGATAGTCATATAACTAAAAGCCAGCTCTGAAGATGCAGCAATTTATCAACCTGAACAACCATGCCTCAC